GCAGCAGCAGCAAAAGGAGAGTTGCCACGTGGCTTGCTGCACCCAACCCATTCATAGCAGCAACGAAAACGGCGAGTCACGGCAGCAGCAACAGCTGCAGCAGGCTGCCGCTGCTGCAGCAGCAGCAGCAGCAGCCAGCATTTTTGCCTTTCCTGGTTGTGCTGCCAGAAGAAGATTTGCTTGGAAACAATGCAGCAGCAGCAACAGCAGCAGCAGCAGCAGCAGCAGCACAAAGGGCATGGGCCCTCGGGGCCCCTCCTGCTGTCCCCCTCATCTGTGGCAGCACCTTCTACAGCGCACCCTCAAGGGACTGCAGCAGCAGCAGCAGCAGCAGCAGAAGGAGCAGCAGCAGCAGCGGCAGCAGCAGTAGTAGCAGTAGAAAAGACGGCAGCAGCAGCAATAAAGACGGCAGCAGCAGGCGCAGCAGCAGCACTAAAGACGGAAGCAGCGGCAGCAGCAGGCGCAGCAGCAGCACTAAAGACGGCAGCAGCGGCAGCAGCAGCAAGAGAGACAGGAGCAGCAGCAACAAAGACAGCAGCAGCAGGAGCAGCAGCAGCAGCAGTATTAGCAAAGTAATAGACCCACTGAACGCCGCAGGGGACAACGACGGTTTTGTTATTGTTGTTGCTGCTGCTGCTGCTGCTGCAGGGCTGCCGACGCTGCGCTGCTGTTGATAGAGTTTGCTGCTGCAGTTTCTGTTTGTGTTTCTTTATCTAGCTGTCTCTTTTCTGTTTCCTTTTATGGCGATGTGATTCTGCTGCCTTGCAGCCGCTGCAGCAGCTGCAGCAGCAACAGCTGCAGCAGAAGCAGCTGCAGCAGCAGCAGCTGCAGCAGCAGCAGCTGCTGCTGCTGCTGCTGTCTTTGTTGTTACTATTTAAATGCCGTCGGGAGCTGTCTTTGCAGCAATCTGTCTCTCCCTTTGTCTTTTCCTTCGTCTCTCTCTGCTCTCTCTTTGTCTCCTCTGATTCTGTCTTTCTTTTTCTCTCTTCTCTCTCCCCTGCGTGCCTCTGTCTCCTTGATGCTGCAGCTGTCTCCTTGCTGCTGCAGCTGTCTCCTTGCTGCTGCAGCTGTCTCCTTGCTGCTGCAGCTGTCTCCTTGCTGCTGCAGCTGTCTCCCTGCTGCTGCAGCTGAGGGCTCTCCTGCTGCAGCTGCACAGCGATATGCCTCCTGTCTCCTG